GGGAAATTCTTTGATTCTTTTTAAGCCGGATTTTGGGCATTGATATCAAAAATCTAACCTTTATGTAAGCTTGCAAACACATGGCATCGAGGTAACCTGGTTGTTGGCTACAGATGACTCGAAGAAGCGAGAAGGCAGAAAATGCATTCATTACTAGACAAGTTGGGGATCTAAACAGTTTGAGCATTCACAGAATAATTGCTGAACTGAATTTATTATTATGAACTGAAAGAAATTAGACAAAAGCAGCAAAGTTTGTAATGATAATACCGTGACTAGACTAGACATTCGCGAGTATCATGAATTATGAAAACAGATACCAAAAAAAATTTTGTTTTCTGATTTGATAAAATCTCATTGATGAACTTGAGAAATATAAGTATAGAATTTGACTCACTTCACATAGGAGTTGAAATTGTCATTCAGATACTTCGAAATGAACTGATTGAGAATCTCGAACTCGTACATCCCAGTCATCGAGCAGTTGGATTTCTCGAACAGCTTAGCAACAAGCACATTTACTAGTCGAATAAGCTAGAATAATCAACTATAACTGAATCCACAAAAAAATCTAAGGGTTACCGCTCCATGTCCACTGTTCAAGCAAGATATTATTGCTCTTTGAATAGGACGGATCGTTTGCAGTAGTAAAGGCTTCGGCTGTAAGCTTATGTGCATAAGACTTTCTCCTATTGGGTATCTCGAACAAACCATGATTGTCACAAGATTTATGACAACTTCCAGGGCTTGTTGAGCTTGAGCGATTGATTGAGCTAGCTGTGACTGATTTTCTTGCCTTACAAGCGACTCAGGTGGAACTGTGAGCTCTTTTTCGAGCCTAAATAGGATACATTGCCATCGGAAACAAACGAAGGAGTGAGGAGAATCACCAACCAGCTAACTTTGATGGTGACAACATCACCCCAAACTGCAGACTTCAGGCACTGTTTCATCAGTCCTATACTTCGCTTTCCATTTTCAAGGGTTGCCTGGTGCAGCTGATGTGGCTGTACGGGTGACGTCGGCTACAAAGGCATCAATAGCTTTGAGAAAACCTTTTATCCATCACTCTCAGTAAATTGCCTGAAGGTTAACAGACCTGTATTGCAAACTTCAAAAGCATAGCAACAACTTCATCGACACATTCTTTTGACATCTGTTTGTACAGCTGATCATCAAACTCGGCTGAAATAAGAATGCTGTAAGAAACTGCTTCCCGATATACAGGGTGTCCCAAAAGTATGTATACACTGTTT